CGGTCAGTCCTGGTTTAATCCTCCTCTTCAGTCCTAGGTTAGTCCTGGGTTAGTTGTGGTTTACTCTTGGTTCAGTCCATGGCGTATGCAACGCAAAAGTTTTGATATAATCTCGGGTTAACGGGCAGTTGTGAGCAGGTATGGGCGTGTGCGGTGCCATACTGCGCGGGTGAGGGTCTCCAAAAATAGGGCTCCATTACGGAATAAATTAATCTTCGGTTCGTTACATAAAGAAAGAGGAAAATAACCAAAGGATGAGTTTTAAGAAGGATGCAAAAAGGGTTGGAACTGTGCTGTCTGAGAAAAGTCTATATAGTTTGTGGTGAGGGGTTTTACAGGCTTAAAACAGATATAATAATTGTAAAATATAAAATTGACTACTTTGCAGATTTCACCTATCATGGGTTATTTTTAGAATGTAACCCCCGCAATAAACGAGGGACCGCTGTAATGCTTAAAGTCCTGTATTACACAGAATTGACCGAGTTTTAAGACATGTTTTACCTCAAAAACTCGGCACGGCGTTGTGTTTTGTGTCATTCACATGTGTTCAAGTAATCCTTTATAATTAGTCTGTCTTCACCTCCAAAACTCAGAATGCTCTGTTCCACCTTGTGATGTCATGTAGTGATAGTTTTCAAGTGAACAGCTTCTTTTACCTTTAGTTCAGTGGAGACTGGAAATGTGATGGATCTGTCAAATGCTTGTAACCATGGAGATGTTATTCCTTTATCTGGAATGTTTCACATTTCAAGTGTGATGGAAATTTATACTGTGGAAAGATTTCTTTCAATTTGTCTTTGTGCAAATAAACCCTCAATGCTTCCCAGAGGAAAAAATATACTGCTCAAATGTGTCTTATTTTAAGCTCAGAAGACAAAGTTGAGACTCTCATTGTAGTTTCATTATAGTTCTAGATTTGTCTGGTGTGAGTCTGGTTTGTTTCTCCTAAAATTCACTAGAAGTAACAGGGGAGACACAAACAGGAGTCAAACTTGAGACACTGGTGAGAAACTGTTTTAACATCAACAAAGAAAACAAAAACTAGTCATACTTGAGACACTGGTGAGAAACCGTTTTAATGGCTCAAATTTCAAATCAAATAGTCCTAAAAACATACAGCTGCGAAAGAAAATAATATTTGTGAAATTCAGAAAGGATTTTATTGATAATATTAAAGACACAAATGTGTACGCTTCCAGTGAACATGGTAGTTTTTTTAAAAATTATTATTTTTTTTTTATTATTATTATTATTATTTTACATTTCACCAATCCAAGCACCTTTGTATAGTTTCAATTTTATTTTTAACTCTTTGTAACATATACTTACACAGATATAGCTTTGGCTAATAATCATAACTCCAACTAAAACCTTTTCACATGTTCCAGATGCAGTCATTAATGAGTCTCAATGTCACATATTGTTGTACACAGAATGTTAAAAGTTTCAAAAGTCGGGTTGGTGAGATAAAGAGTCTACCTGGGTCTTTTCGGGAATTTCTCAGTATATCTTAAAGAGACATGGAATACGGTGACTGGTTTACATTTTGGGTAAAGTTATTTGTGTGCAACTTTTATCACTTGTTTTGTAGTCATCACATTGGTTCAGGGAAAGATGCTCACACTGCCTCCAGTCGACTTCTACCTGCAACACAGAATTAAATAACTCAGTGAAAACCAGGGGGGAAAAAACTTTAACTTATATCCCTATATACATGAGGAAATGACTTCACTTGATGAGGCTAAAATAATTATGATCATAATTATTTAATATTTCATAATATACTTTCAATTTCCTATAAAAATACTCTTCATATAAATACAATATTTAGCTACTACTAGACTATATTAAATAAAATGAATGTTTTATGCTGTCTGCTTGGATACAGGAAAGGAACACACAAAAAAAGTACAAAATTTACAGAATGCTCATTCCACAAGCCTGCTCGTTTAGGCTCACTGAAACATAAACTGTTTGGTTGCATTTCTGTCTGAGAGTTTCCACATACACTAGTATGTCGACTCTCTAATTCAACACACTGAACTCCAAGTCCACACCAGTGCATTGTCTGTCCCAGAGTCCCGAGTGCGGCTCTACAGTTCGGGGTCAGCCTTATCATCAGAAGACCCTCTAGTCAGAAAATCCATGTTCAGGTAGTGTTTCCAGTATACCACAGATCTTGTAGGGTATTTTCCAAATTTTCACCTCAAAGTTCATAAAGACATTAATTTTTATACGAACTTCCAATTTTGCGAACAAATTGAAAATAAGAGGCCTTGATATTTTTAGCTCAGCTCAAAGTATATGTACTATTTAGGCGTGTCATAAAAATGCTCCTGTTCTGGGTATCCCGCCTGGTCGTATTGAAAAAGGCCAACTGTAAGGCATTTTTAGCTCCGCTTGTGAGCTGTAAGTTCAAGCTTTTCACTATGCCAAATTATTATCCCTACCATGACCTTTGTCCCATACCAGCCATTTGACCTTGATCCATTGTCCAAGGTCACAGCAGCCATTTCAATTTTCACATGGTCAAACTTCAAAAGCCAGACAAATCTAACCCTAATGTCTGGTGCTGTTATTTTTATACACGTTTTATTACGATACTAAGGTTGTTTCATTATGTATGTTTCATAGATCTCTGTGACCTTGACCTTGGCCACAGGATGACAGAATGTTTGCCATTTCAATACATGGGTTTGACATAAATAGGCCATCCATAAATAGGATGTAGGGCTTACATCAGGCATCTGACCCCTTCTGAATACTTCAACACAGTTTTTATAAACATCCATATGAATATGCATATAATATGTTGAGCAGGTTCCCGCCTTGAATCGTCGCCTTGAAGTGTCAGCATTTCTTCTTTGGGGGAAGTGACAACCCCCTCCAAACCACTGTAAATCACACCAAGTCTGTTTAGATAAGCCAGCTGGTTATCTCCACAGTCCTAGTTCTGTAAAAGAATTTGCTTAGAAACACTTAAGTTACCCATTATGTAGGAAACACAATGGTACTATTCAACAGATCCCAGTGTTTAAACTTCAACTCAATATGTAACTTCATTAAACAATATTCAAACCACCACTTGATACAGCCTTCACTAGAAACACTGTGTAAGGGGTTTAGTTTTTTGCTACACTTTGCTTTACACACTATCTAGCATTAGGACCACTTGAATGTGTTCCTCAGAGTAGAACTAAGCACAGAGTGACTAACACTAATGACTAGAAAAGGCAAAAGGGTGAGATTCCCTGTGTAGCTGAGTGTAAAGACGGGCTACTTTCTCATGAGGGAGAGTAAATTCAAAGGCCTAGTACATCTCTTCCAGGTTTAAGAATGTATATATTATCTTTTCTAAATATAAAATGTATGAAGAAGACTAAAAATGTATGCCTGTTCTGACCTGTGGCAACCCATTAAAAAAGGAAAAAAGGAATGAAAGAAACAAAACGTTTGAAAAGGAAAAAAGAAAGACAAAAAGAGGAAGTTTTATTGTTTTATATGCAGAAAATTGTGCTTAAGTAGAGTGTGACAACAGAAGTAAATTTTGTGCATCCTTGGATCAGTCAAACTGTATGTTGTGAACTGTGCAGTGTCAGAATCGCTGAAACATCTGAGTCTGTGTCAACATTGTCAGCAAGAAAATAAGATGCCGTTAACGAATCCACCAATTCAGTTAACGGCTCCCCTAATTCTTAGATATTTTTCTTTTTTTTATTACCTGGTCCCGGAAGGGTTGACCAGGTTTAGTATTCACCCTGTGTGTCTGTGTGTCTGTCCACCCACGATAATTCTGCCATTTATGGACCAACTGTCACCAAATTTGGTACATGGGTCAAACCCCTGTGCCCGACGTTTGGTGTCGAGGTCATTTGAGAGTCACACGGGTCAATTGAAATGTCACGCCGTTATAAAGCACAGGCGATTTCGGCAATGTCTGAACCATCTGTGGGTTAAAATATTCACCTAATCATTACACAAGTTGGCACACACATAACCGGGGTACACTGGATGTTACAGGCTGAAACTGGGTCAAGCTCACTTGAAGCTCAAGTTAACCAAGGTCAAATATGCTTCAGTTTCTTGGTAATTTCTCACACAGAATAGCCTTCATTTCTAATAACAAGAATAGACTGTCCAGTTTCACATGAAAGTTCTCTTTTTCTGGCCATTTTGAGCGTTTAATCGGCCCCACAAATGTGATGCTCCAGATACTCAACCTGCTCAAAGGAAGGTCAGATTTATAGCTTTTCTAACCAGCTAAACTGTTTTCAGCTGTCCTAACATGATTGCACAAGGGTTTTCTTATCATCCATTAGCCTTCTGACACAATACATAAACACATTGTACCATTAGACAACACTGGAGTGACAGTTGCTGGAAATGGGCCTCTTATACACCTATGTAGATATTGCCCCAAAAACCAGACATTTGCAGCTAGAATAGTCATTTACCACATTAGCAATGTATAGAGTGTATTTCTGATTAGTTTAAAGTTATCTTCATTAAAAAAAACAGTGTTTTTCTTTCAAAAATAAGGAAATTTCTATGTGACCCCAAACTTTTGAACGGTAGTGTATCCTGTGGTCCAAAGCAAAAATAAATAAATAAATAAATGTGACAAAGACTTTTTGCCAAAATGTTATTTAAAATAATAATAATAATAATGAAAGCTTTTGAACATCAGCCATCTGAGTGTGCTATGCATTTTTTCACTTTTAAATTTTGTCACATTAGTCTTGCACATAGTAGTAAGACAAAAACTAGCCTAGAAGTATAGTTACTTCAAAACAGCAGTAAGCACTTGGTATGGTAAAAAGAGATTTAAGTAAAAAGTACTTGGTGATAAACCTACTTTTACTTTTACAGTTACTCAACAAAATGCAACTAATAACTACCCTTTGCTTACTACTACTACCTCATACAGTATCTACTGTACTTTCCAAACTGTGTCCAAGTATCTGTTTCTTTGAGTTTGACTGTTTCTTGCCTTCCAGGGCTGTGTTCTGATTGGCCGTAGAGTCCACTCGTCACATCTAAGTCCCGCCCTCTGCCTCATAAATGTCCAGCCCCAGCTCATACCAGGACCTCCAGTCTCCAGAACTCTCCACTCCTCCTTCCTCTGGTCCTGTAGCTGAAAAATCTGCAAAAATGGATCAAGTAAGTTAACTTTTCTTAATATTTTTTTATATTGGGGTTATTCTGTGCATATATATATATATATATATATATATATATATATATATATATATATATATATATATATATATATATATATATATATATATATATATATATATAATTTTAGGGGTGGTCAGTCCTTGAATGGGAGACCGCTAGGAACACAGGTACCACAATGAGCCACCAGTGGCTCTTGGGGTGGGGAGGGGGTGCAGCTTTAGGTCCAGTAAAGTGTGTGATTTTGATTGTCTGTATATTGTGTCTGCCCTCTTATTTTATAAAAGGCTCATTATGAAAGGTGTTTTTTCACATAAAAACAAATGAAGAGTTTAGTGAAGGTTAAACTTGGCACTTAGACTCTGGCAGGTTGAGGTGTAATGAAGAACTGTATGAACTTTATGCTCTTACTGTTTCAAAAAGTACTACACTCACAACTGAACCTGTGTTATCAGAGTCTTAACCTGCAGATAGAGACACATCTAAGTTTGTCTCATTCTCAGTTTATGGACAGACTGTGCCTCAAGTGAAAGCTCAGAACCTCCAGAATTCCTTCACTGAGCCTCATGTATTTCAGTTGTTCATATGATTTACTGTATGTCGTTCTTTGTGCCCACAGTGTGCAATGATTGTGAAGAACATGTCCTTTAAGGTGGGACAGACCCTGACTCTGGTGGGAACGATCAAACCTGACGCCACAAGGTAACTCCATTCGACATGAGGTCAATAACCAATACTGTGTGCACACTTTTGTATAAACTTAAAATAAGAAACAAAATACTTCTTTTTACAGTTTTAACTTGTCTTTTGCATTAAGTCATTTTGGGAATTACTAGGTTTGTTAAAATGAATCTTAAGATATTAAAGGTCCTATATTATGTGAAACTGTGAGCTTTTAGCCATGATGTGTTTGCTGTTGTGTTTTGTTTCACTCACACAGTAGTGGTAGTTTTAAAGTTAGGCCATGTTATAATTTATTATAACATTTTAAATCACAGTATTCATCTAAGATCGCTGAGTTCTGTGTTAGAAAACTGCGATACCCACTGGCAGCTGATGGCGCAGGAAATGTCATCACAAACTCCAGTGGTAAATGCCAGATCACACTAGCGAGTAGCAGATTTTTTATTTTCATTTGTACTGAAATGCGACATTTGTAGCATTTGCGACACTGCCGACTGCTACACATGTCACAGTTTAAGAAAAGAAAACTGGAGAACAGATACAAGTACAAGTACAGAGCAGCGGTGGTTAAAAACGGAAGTTGAGCAGAAATATGGCGTCTTGAAAATAAACGATTAAATATTGCTCAAACATGCATGAATGACTCCTAAATCACTCCTAATAAACTTGGAAATGGTCAGTGAGAAGAGGAGACAACTGGGTCCGGTCAAGCGGTAACGGAGGGAAACAGGGACAGATTTTTTACATTCAAATGTCTCTTATTCAGAAACTAGAGGGACTATTGAAATAAGTAAAGTATCAGAATGTAGGAAAGAGTTAACACTCCAACAGGGTAAAGTTAAACCTGTGATATTCTTTCAAGTTGTTGACAAAAAATTTTTAAAACTCATGTCGGTAACGGAGGGAATGAAATATGCAGCACTTTTTGGGCAATAAATACAAACAGTGATAACTCTTGGTTCTCACTTACATATCCTTAACAAACTGGTTTGAATATTTGCTTCATATAGTTTTCTACCATATGGTACAAGATTAGGTTGAAAAACCTTTTACTTTTTGAGTAAGTAATGAGATTTTTTATTAAGAAAGGTCATGGTAACGGAGGGAAAAGTAACGGAGGGAAAATTGTGCAAACAAGTAGAAGGTGCATGATTTTGCATAATCTGTCAGTTTTTTTCTTCCGAATACTTTAATATTACTTCAAAATGAAAGGAAACTATTTCTATAAAATATGTCAGTCCTTCCAAGCAAATTTTTATCATTTTAAATACTTTTTTTTTTTTTTTTGAAAAATCATGTACCTTCATCAACAGTTCAAAGATGGAATAACACAAGATATGATGAAATACATCCATTTATTTACATGATTTGCAGGTCTTTGAAATTTGGGAAATAATTTTTGTTCCATGTTTCATACATGGTCTGTTTAAAACGTATGTAACTTTAGAACCAAAAATGGTACAGAAAAAAAGGTAAAAGTTTCATAA